ATGGTGTCACTTAAATAGAAGTTGCCGAAGTGTGCGGTCTTTGGCTGGTTCTGTCCGATGGCATAACACCAAATAGCAAAACAGGGGAGCACAAATATTGACAGGAGCTTCCACGATTTCTGCAAAAATTAGATGTTCTCACATTTTAGATCCTAGAGTGAAATATAGTGTTGGATGATTTTATTGATAATTTAAAATGTGGTACATCGTACATTGAATAGAAAGATTTAATTATTAATAAGTAAAGCTAATTTTTGTCTTAATTTTATTTGTATTTTAAATAATTATTGTGTGTAACAAAACAATTATTATTTGACAAATAGTCATAACTATTTGAATATAAATATATTATTATTCATAAAAGTAATGTTATAAAAAATGTTATAACCATTTAAATAAAAATTTATGTCTATTTGTTCATTATAAAAAATATTTCAGTATAACTATTTTTACTATTTTTGATTAGAGAGTTTGATGCTTTATTGTATCCTAAAGGCATAATTGCCTTTAAGAAAGTTTTTTCCATGCCTTAAAACCAAAATTTTTTCTATTATTTCTCTTCTCTTATTTATTTTTTCTAATAACTTAAAGACAATTATGAGAAATTTGTATTTCACATGAGGAAATATAAAGAAAAGAAATAGGCATTATTTGGAGATTAGTATTAGAAGAGACTTAAGGTGTCAAAAGATTAATGTTTTTATGGATCAAAATATTAATTTTCATAAAAATCTTCATTAGAGATATGTATTTTATTTTTTACATAATTACTGATAAAAAGATTGACTGAATGAGATAAACACGTTAACAATTTATTTCATTAGTATGTAAAGTCAAAACACAATATGCAAAATATTAATTACATTGCATAAGTTTATGCATATATTGAAATTGGCTGTACAATTGGGTTTAATGAATTGTATTATATTTATTTAAAAATTTGATACTTATAAAGATCGGGATCGAAAATAGCCTAAAAACATAAAATCGAAAGACTTGAATTGATCTACTATCAAAAGAATTATTACTTGTTATCAAGTAACGAATTAAATTAAATTCGAACGGAATGGTCAATTGTTTAATTGTCATATCTTGGTTATATATAGAACAGGCAAATTGTCCCATGGTTTTTATGAAAACAATCAGAAATGGGTAAAAAAATTTACCTTGAAAAATTAGTTATAAATAGAGAATATATACAAAAAATAAGATTTGACTACAAGATTATTTTTATTTTTCAATCATGATATCAAAACTGAGATAATAAATTGAGTCAAGCTATTTGTATAGTTCTATCTTTGTTGGTCATTTATAAATCAAATATTGATATTTTTTTAATTTATTATTAGTTCAAATTTTGACTAGTGTTCATTTTTCATGAAAACCAATTAAAATTAAATCGATGTATATGAATAATTATTATTAAGATATGATTTTTTATGGATTAATTGATGGATAATAAACCAAATAATTGTTATTATCAAAAACATGAACAGTGTGACATATATTTAGCCTACTAAGTATATTATACTAGAAGTGATTTTACAAAATAAAATTTTATTGTGAACAATCACAAAGTAAAAATCATAAATTGCAATAAAAAAGTTAATCAATGGTTACATAAAAATATTGTTGCTTTTCGTACATGAGATATTAATTAAAAGAAAAAGCATGTCATTAAAAATATTGAAGTTTTTGTCAGTTATTAGTATTTTGAAGGATGCTCATCAATGTCTAATTAGTCATGTTTATAAATTAGAAAAGAACATGCAAATTCAATGTTTCAAAGGAACAAATACATGCATATAATTTTATTTTGTAAAACATTGGTACAATTTGTCATGTATTACGAAAATAAACTGAATGTGATGTAATTTTTTTTCTTATACATATAAGAAAGATATGGACTATGGAGATAGAATGCATTCATCCAATTAATACATTATTGGTTAAAGACAACGAAGATATTTTTACTTCTTATACCCGAAAAAATGGCCTTTTGCAGGCTGTTAAAATGAAAAGTGCACAACTTTCTGAGCTTTTCAAAAATTTCATGACAATGGCAGGATGTGACTAGTTATACACCATGTTAACATATAAGCTTAAATAATAATATTAGTCTGTGAAAATCATAAGCCTTGGAATTAGCCAATCAATTATTTAACCAATACAAATTCATTTTGAGTTTTTGCATGAAATATGAGTAGAACTCACATTATAATTATTGTTTATGCAATTTTATGAAAATGATTCTTTGGATTCATATTTCATGACTTGCGTTGATATGGTGATATAGATATGAACATATTGATTATAAAATGATTGTGAAAGTATTTAAAATTGAAGTTAACTATACTATCGACTCTTATTGTACATAAGCATATTGATCTTATAAGTAAAGTTTGAATTTATTATATATCCAAAAATGTTATGACCAATTAAAGGTGATAAATAACAAAGATATATATGTTGCATAATGGTGAAGAAATAAAGTTCTTATAAATGTTTGAAATTAAGTTTAGAGATTTTAATAATCATTAACTTAGAATTGACCATCGAGCAATTATTATATACATTGAAAACTGATGATAATATTTAAGATAATTGATTTTCACTAAAAGCTATCACTATAAATGAGATAACTTCAATAACCAAATCTACATGATTTGTAGGTATGATCTGAATTAATATGGTAGGGTTAGAATAGCCATAAGCCAAAATTGATGCCACAATCTTGATCACGTTGTAGTAATTTTTTGTTATGTATATAGTCTAATTCATGGATTGTATAAATGATTTATCATCTATAGTTTTATTAAAAGTTTTGAAACAGTGAAATTTTTAAAACATATTTACTTTGGAAGTCATGAATGATTTAAAGATCTTATGAATATGATAACTTTTATAATAGCAAAAAGAATGTTATTTGATCCATTTGAGTGGTAAAAATGGTTTTGTTCATGGTAAAAAAACTATTAATAGTGCCTATAATGAAATAGATTCATATGAATATTTATGAAGTGACATAAAAAGTCTTAAAAGAGACTATAGAAGCATAATTATATTTGAAATCTACTTATTAATGTAAACTCTTATATTGAGTTAAAATATAAAACTTTTATGAATAATAAATATTAAGATACAAAATATTTGCTGGTTATCTTTTACTAAAGGTGAATTTAAAGGCCTCTTACTTTAAAAAAAAAAAAAAACACCAAATAGTGTAAAGATAAATGAAATAGCAATTCGATTAAGTATATATGATATTTAGATAATTTAATGAGACATTTTTAATAAAAAAAAACACATACTTGCACATGGTATGGGTGATAATAATCAAAAGAAATAAAAATTGCTGTCATAGTATTATAAGATTTTAGTAAAATTTTATGAACAAATTATACAAGCTAATAAATTTAGTACACTATTAAAGTAAAATCATAAAAAGGTATTTAAAAATCTTAAAAGGACTAAAATGGTTTGATTTATTCATTGAGTTTATCCAATTGCACTAGAAGTATAATTGTATTAAAGATATATAAAAGTATGGAAATAGAATGGTTGAAATTTATAAGTATAGAGTTGTAGCCACAACCAAAACTAACTATTTCTTAAAATGATAAGAGTAAAACAATAATATTTAGAGCATATAAATTATATGCAAAATGAAAAGTTTGGACATATTAGCCTGAAGTAATTATATTAGAGATTCAATCTTAAGCGGGAGTAATTACCATAATACTACAAATAGAATGAATTTAAACCCTTACTATTAGATACCAATAATGAGAATCCAACTTTGAATTAGTAACCTCTAATTACAAAGTTTAATGGGTAAAAATAAGTTATTATTATGTGTTTATTAAACATTAATAAAATTCATTCAAATTTTAGAAATTAGTATGATCTACTGTGTGATGATGATGAGATTTTATACACTTAATGGAGTTTTAAATGACAAAAGCAATAAAAGACATAATGGAAACTCTACATATATAAACATAAAAGTGATGCCACTTCAATAAGAAGAATTAAGATCTTTCTTGTAAATATTTATGAATAAGATAGTTACATAGCTATAATAATGGTAAAAGCAGTTATAAACATCTGACAGAAGAATAAATAAGTATTATGTATGTTATATCTTCAATTTTCACACCAAGAATTGAGGTTTAATCTACGAACACCATTAATTTCATTAGAATTCTAAAATATATGCGCTAATTGAAAGTTTAAATTGAGAAATATGTTCTTATATTCATAATATTTATTTGTGTGAAAAGTTAAAGATTAAGCACCAATATTCTAAACTAGTAGGAGATTATTAGTAGTTTAAAATGTGATGCATTCTATATTTGATATAAAGATTTAATTATTGATAAGAAAAATTAACTTTTGTATTAATTTTATTAATATTTTAAATAATTATATTTGAATAAAAAAATTATCAAATGATAAATAGTCATAACTATTTAAATATAAATATATTATTATTTATAAAAGTTATAATTATACAACAAATTATAAACATTTGAATAAAAATTTATATCTATTCATTCATTATAAATAAATATTTCAGTATAATTATTTCCATTACTTCTGATTGAAGAGTTTAAGACTTTATTATATTATAAAAACATAATTACCTTTTAAAAAGTATTTTTCATACCTCAAAACTAAAACTTTTTCTATTATTTTTTTATTTATTTTTTCTAACAGATTTAGATTTGTGTTTACGTACCTGGAATTATTAAGTCTTTCCAAATTGAAGACAAGCAAAATGGATAATACTCTCCCACAAGAGTGGCTAATTATGTCGAACAAGAGTTCTGCGATAATTCTTCCCTTTCTAACTATACTTTTCATTTTTACAAGGAGAATTTAATTATGCAACATTTTCCAGTTTTTGAGGGACTCCAGAAACGTAGCAATTTTTACTTCATTTTTACGTTGTGGGCAGTTCAAGAGAATTTTGTACGAGAGAAAAGAACATCCACAAGTTAAAGAAATTCGACGAGTGAAGAATAGGCATATAAAATATAAGTTGTCACAACTCACAAAACTTAATAGAAGAAACCATATAAAGTTAAAAATGTTTAATGTAATTAAAATCTGTGCATGCAATGATATGCCACCGCGAGCAAGCCATAACGGCATTGGTGCCTTGCTTGCCATTCTTGACGGATCCAACAGTACCCTCACCCTCTGTTACTTGCTGCTTATCTGTGGCTAACGTGAACGCTGCAGCTAGCACAACTCAATCACACAGGGAACTCTATGAATATTTTGAAAGTATGGCCCAGATTACGGTGTCAAGCCTGAGAAAGCTAAACAGCTTCCTGGTTTATGTGCAATTCATGTACCCGTGCTCATTGATCCCCTTGTCAACTGCAAGACGTAATATTTTTCTTTGCCCTTGCTTTTTTTTAATTTTTCTAATGCCTTGATACTGTAAACCGGCTGATATTCTTTCAATAGGCAATGCAAATGAACCAAGGAGAGGAGTTTGTGACGCTGCCACCAAGAACAAAACTTGAGGAGCAGTAATAACTTCAAAAAAGGAATTCTTATGTAGTGATGGAATTTAATTATCTTGTTGTCTATCATATGATATGTATGACAAGAAAATTATAAATAGAAGTGCTTGATCCTTCTGTGAAAATTTTCTGATAACTCTCAACTGTAAAAATCATAAGAGACTCAAGTAGGCAGCAGTTTATACTAGCTAACGTCTACTTATAAAGAGATTCAAAAAGTATCATTTTCTCAAGTATTGTAGTGCAAATACATACACAGCCCTTCAACTACCGTCATGGAAACAGGGTTTTCCTACTCAATAATGTTCTGCAACTTAAAAAAATGTAGCCAAAAAGACCTTAATTTCAGGGCAGCCAGCTTGTATGATCCATGCAAAAAAATGGGGATTAACAGTGGCCAACCATTTTCTTTTATTGAATTCATTTTATTCCTTGAGGCTGGTGTAACTCGTAATGCAAACTGATTATGCAGGTCAATATTGGTAAAACTTCTACAAAATACAAAGATATTGAACCTCTTACCATATTAATCGCTTCAGCAGAAAATGAACTCTTTTACATATCTTAGGTCATCACACCGAAGTAATTTTTCATAACATAGCAAGTGCCACAAACAATTTATACAAGGGCTTGCTTAAGTACCAAATATAGAATATAGACATGGATTTGAGATATGAACTTGTGCTTGACATCCAGGCAACCATCAGAATCTTGTTCACTCCTAGAGATTTCCATTTTCTTCTAACCGGTAATATGCTTCTTTGCATGCTAACACTCAAATTGAGAAATCGGATCACCCCTCTCAACTTACAGCATATATTTTTGCAATTTGGTAGCAGCGATGATGCTGGTATTGAGCTCTCCTCTCCAAGGTATAGGGTATTCATGTCAAATTTACTGTGAAAAAGAGACTGAAATGTTAATGCTATGAAAACCTTTAATTTGGTTTAAATAGATATGCCAAATGCTAGAAAGATCTAGATATTTTTATTTGGTTTAAATAGAAGCATTTATTTGCGAGGGCTGCTTCATGCTTTCAAGGCCAATAATATATGCAGAAATTGTCGAATCATTAAACTAGTTCTGTCATTTTTATTTATTTCTCTTGGGTCAAATTATACTCACTCTCCTTACAGATGCAAAGGGGAGAATAAAAAGTACCTATTGTCTTATTAAGCAGCCAAAGCAGTAAAGCTAGTTCAATCCCAAATATTGTGTGGATTCCTGTTCTGTCTACCATGAAACCAAACACTGTAATTCCTGCTCTGTTGTGTTCCAGATATGTCACTGCAACACATGTTAGCAACTTAATTGGGATTATACTGCAAAATATATGCGGATTAAAAAAAATGATGCTTTTTTCATATTAACCCAAAGCCTGTCTCTTTTGGAAAGAGATTGTGTGTGCAAAAATGGGCACTAGCTTTGTATTGTCCAAATCATTCTCTCCATCTTCTTCTTCTGATTCCCAATCAACATCAGCAGGAAACATTGGAGGAGAAACAATCTGAGTTGTGGGAGTCTCACCATCAGCATCATCAAAAGAGTTTATTGTGGCACAGGCATGCCACTTCGCAGCAAGGCTTGTAATAGACTGTGCTCTATGAGTAATCTTTGTTGCACTCCTCAAGCAGATGAATAGTCCTGTTACCAGACTTATGGAGCATAACTGCACCAATCACCATAGAATAATTATGATTTGACATTTAAGAATTTCTTGAAACTGAAGTATAGTCTTCTATCTACTAGAAATTAGAGGCTTACCGCAAGTTCTCCAGCCTCGTAGATATTGACCGTAGTACTGGTTCGAGTGGTCATGAGCAAAGCGATGAACTGACTTGCAGTGACCAACACCAGTGACGACAAAATAAATAACCGAAAGCGGTGGCTAATTATCCGAAGATTTCTTCTTATCCTGAGGTGTTCAGCCAAGATTGAACCTACTTCAGTTTCCTTTTGAAAAACTTGAGCAAAGTCTTCCAATCGAAGTATTTGCAGATGGCATGTCAGTTGGTAAAAGATGCAGGCTAGGATGAAAACGGATGTTCGATAAAGCCACGAGCACAGCTGCAATGTGCATGCAATGATGTCACTCACATATATGTTGCCAAAATACGGTATTTGGCTGGCTCCTGTGGCATACCACCAAATTCTGTATGCACCCTCAGCAGCAAGACAGGGGAGGACAAATACAGAGAGGAGCTTCATTGATTTCTGCAAAAATCAGAGGTTCACATTTTAGAAGATATCATGAAATATAGTGTTGAATGATTTAGATGAGAGTTCACCATTTTTGTTTACACATAGTTCCTTTCAAATTCAGAAGTGGCAAAGTTGATACTATTCTCAAAATACTACTATTCTCAACTTCTTCTATAGGATAAAATACATTTTTCTTGGATAGAATAATAAGTGGCTAATCAAGTAGAACAAGATTTCTGTCATACTTCTTCTCTTTCCTTTCAAACGCCCCTTTTAGAAGAAGAAATATCATATCCCAGATTTTTTATTTCTTTTTGAATAAGTAATTGATTTCATTACCCAAAATAAAACTGCTACAAGTACAACTGTCTCCTAAAGTACATTGTAATCAAACATGGAAGAGTTCAATTTCCAATTATTACAACTTACAAGGGTTCAGATTGACAGAATCAACTGTCTCCTAATTGCTACGCTGAAGCAGGTTAACACAAATAGCCTAATCAGATTCAAGGAGCAGCTCACGAGTTTCCCTTTCTTCTGTTGTACTAATATTCCATCAACAACCAAAGGAAATGTAATTTCCCAGTGATTTACTCTTTAAGCTCTCATAAGAAACCAGACTGAAGGATTCTTTAACAATACTGATACAAAAGGATCTTACAATCATGAAGAGGCCTTTTTATTTTGGTTAATGGCTAATATAGAAGACTGTGAATGTCTTAATTCGAATGCAATTTATAGATCATATATGGAATAATTACTACTATCTTAATACTTATCTCCTAATAAAAAACTGTGGCATATGAAGCAAGTAGGCAATAATTGAATTCTACTAAATGAGAAGAAAAAGAAAAGGCAAAATCTCTGACCAAAACGACTCAGCTTGGAAGCCATCAAAGTTCTACAATATATCAAAGGTTCAGAAAGAACAAGGAACAAATGCCCAAGTTTGCCAAGGAACATACCTGAAGCTCCTGTGCATATCCTTGTCGAACCTTATCACTCACGTCACACAATTTATCCAAGAATAGGAACTTCCTGATTCCATATTTTCGAGCCCAAGAAGACAAACTAATAAAAGAAATCGCTGCAAAAGAAGAAAGGGATAACTGTACCAACCCATCGTAAGGCCTTTGATGCTTCTTATCACAGTTGGAGCATAAAAGCACAAAGTGTGACACAATAGGAACTCCAATGGCAAGCACGAAAAAGAGGGACCAGGAGAGACTAACTCTCCATAAGCTGGACTGATCTAGACAAACCCAGTTGAGACATAATCTGAAGCTCTTCAATTCAAGTCCTTCTTGAGTTATGTAGCCTGTATTTGCCCTGTTTTTTTATAACAAAGACTCCGTTTCATTTTCCATAGCTTTGGAAACTTTCCTGAAGTCAGATTCCGATTGTGAGATAAATACATTTAAAGATGATGACTTGAATGAGTAAGAAAATAGAAATAGCTGTTTCAACTCTCTTGCTCCTTAATATATGTGAATTGTGGTTAGAATAGTAGTATTTTAATATTGCTGCACTGTCGGTTTTGTTGATTGTGGGACCCTTGCATGACTGGCCGGTTTCTTGAGTCTTTCGAATCTCAATCTTGGGAGTGCTTGTTGAAGGAAATCCAGGCTTTCAGTAGCAGGCACCACGATCATATGATGGAGGACAGCCCCTGATTTGTTCTTTTTCCATTGGAAGATCACGTGTTAGGCGGTAGTTTAGGGAATCTAGTTTGATTATAGGAGCTTTTACCAAGTTCGATTGTCAGGGCACAGCTGTTCCAATAAGGTAAAGACGTGGGGCCGTTACGTTTGGCATGTAAAGCGGAAGTTGTCAGAAGATAAAACTGAAGTCATCTACGATTCAGGTCACTTTAGCTCAGTTTTTACCATTAACTTCAAAAATTTTGGAATTCCTGGGGGAAGACTAGGTTTGATTCTTTCGAATTGGGATTCTGAAAACAGATTTTTTCATGGTTATGGTAATTACTATTAAAGATCATAACGTGAATATCCCAAGCCACGCATGAGTTCGTATATCAAGCGAACATGTGAGATGGGTCTTAGGTAACCATTTTAAGAGAGTTTTGACAAAGAAGTTGCCCCCACCCATAAAAGGAGGAAACCTTTGGTATCACTCAATCGGTTGCTTTGATTAAAAGGGACTGAAATTAGATAGATTCTTTTTTATTTGAGGTCATGAAATGAGAGTGAATTTGGAGGAAATTAATAACGGATGCAAGAAAGGCAAAGTCACTCCATTACCTTCCTTGACGTATTGAACTTGGATTAGCATTTCTTAGTTTGTCAAAAGAAACTTTTTTAAGTGGAGAAATAGGAGCACGCCTAACCTATTACTACTGTTCCTAAATTATGTCACTTTCACTAACAACAAATAACAATTAATTAGTTGGTCCAATTGGGATCCAAGTACAAACTTCCCAATTCAAGCAATTTTAGCTCGGCCTCATGCTAAGTGTAAATTGTTGTGGTAATAATAAGATATGATCTGTTCCAATCAGTCCAGTCCACATGTATTATCAGATTAGGCCAACCATGTATTTCATTTTTTAAAATCCAAATTCAAAATGCTTTAAAATCTAATAAATCATGTAAAACATACATTTATGATAATTTGATAATTGTTTTTGTTAAGAATTATAATTACAGAACAAACATTAATTCAAAATACCAAATAGATTTCACTAAAAATTAACCTAACAAATCAAGTTGACCACCAATCTTTCTTAATAAGAAAATGAAAAGTAGTAAAATAGATTATGAAATAAACAATATCTGATAAAGGGATGTGATGGAAAAAGAAAGTTGTTCAGAAAATTTTATTTTCATGCAATATTTATTTATTCACGTGAAAAAAACATATAGATAATATATATTAAGAGGCCTGGAGAAAAAATAAATAAAAAAGAAAGGAGGGAGATTAAGGTAGCCAAAAAAAGTTTTTTACAGGCCTTCATGAAATGCGCGTTATCTTCGGAAATGAACCCAAAAACCTGCGAAAAGAAAGCCAACCGGAATAAGCGCCCACCGAAGTCGCCAAACTCCGGACAAGTGGACTTCCTCTTACATTTGTCAATAACCATTCATCATTTGCTACTTTTGCCTTGTTAGTTTTGAAATTTCTTTTAAACACGCAATGTCGACGACAGTCTCTCTTCTGCGGCGTTAGCAATCGCAGCCTCCTCCTACTTCAAAGCTAGAAATTCTAAAACCCCTCTTTCTTTGAATTTCCATAACCCTTTGCGTTGCAATTCTTCTTCCCCTTCCTTTCGATCGCTTTGATTCTGTTAATTTTTGTTGGAATTACCATAACTCAACCTTTTAACTCAGTCAATTTGATTGGTTATTGAAATTGTTTGAACTTTTTTTCAGGATTCAGTTACAAAGATACTTGATACATTGTACCATGACAGAGATTATGCCAGATCCTTTGTGTTGGAAACAATTGCTCGAGTACCCTATTTTGGTGAGTGAATTTACTGTTCCTTTGCATCGTTTATTTACTTGCTCATAATTCTCATTTTACCTGAAAAAAGTGCAATATGTTATCTACTGATTATAGCCATTTAGGAAACGTTAATTTGTTTTTTAATTTGCTCAAACTTGCTGATATGATGTTTCATTTTCTGGAGGTAGTAGGAAGAGTTTCTTGTTGACATTTGGGTATTGTTTTTTTATTTTACGGCAGCCTTTATATCTGTCCTGCACATGTATGAGAGTTTTGGTTGGTGGAGAAGAGCGGACTATCTAAAAGTGCATTTTGCTGAGAGCTGGAATAAGATGCAGCACCTGCTTATTATGGAAGTAAGGTCCTAAAATGGTTGAATGAGTACTGATTCAACCTTGATGAACATGAGATGATTTAAGTAAGTTGAAGAAAAAATTGAAAATTATAAATGGTGAAGATAATGAATAGTTTCTTCAATGATGCTTTAAGTTAAAAAAAAAAAAAACCAAAGACGCCCAAATCATTCTTGTAATTATCTTTCTCAATTACTTAACTTTTCTTATCATATGACATTTTGGTTGCAGGAATTGGAGGGGAATTCTTGGTGGTTTGACCGCTTTCTTATTCAACATATAGCAATCTTTTATCATATTATGACAGTCTACATGTATGCATTAAGCCCAAGAATGACACTTAAGTACATTATCTGGATTTTTACTTTACAATGGCCTCTCTCTCTCTCTCTCTCTCTTGCACACACATGCTTTCTGGATTCTTCTGGCCCATCATCCTGAATGATAGAAGGATGTTTTGTGTACAGTTAAAACCCTTATATACACTAACGAGCATGTAGGGAAAACCTATTCATGGACTTAAGTAGTTATCAAACTAAAGGTGCCAACAAACTTAGTCAGTAGTCTTTTTTGGCATAGAACCAATGGCCCGCTGCCCTACCTTCAACCTATTTTACAGGTTTTAACAAGAAAGAGACCAAAGAGAATGAAGAGATGGTTTTACATATCCTAACCTCTGCTACGTTCAAACACATCAAACCTCTACTCTGTTGGTTGCTTTTCTTGTGAATTCATTGTAAAGAGAACATTTTTTGTATTTTGGAAATTTCTCATTTTTTCTTCATGCTGTGTTGTGGTCAATTAGCTGTAACTGAATTACAGAAAGCATTGTAGAGTAGGTGACTAGATTGAACCTCGCTTTCATTCTTCTGCAATGCTTATCTTAATATATTTGGTTTCATGACTACTGCAGATCACTTTTCTGAATGTATAGAGAGCCTCACGTTTGAAACCTATGACAAATTTATCAGGGCCTAATGCGGGAAGCTGACATATTCCTGGTTATTTGTCTTAGCATAGCTAGCTTGCAGTTTGTACATGTTTCAAGTTTGACAAAAATTCTAGTTGCAAATGATCTTGCATAAGTAAACATTATGCCGTGTAACCTCTAATGCTACAACTCAATCTAACATGAATCAAGGGTACTTTCGACTTGAAACTTCTCATACCAGGTGCAGTTTGGAGGCACCCTCAAGTCAATTAGACTACCATTTAATTGATGTTAAGAGCTTTTTCGACAAGTCTTTAGATTCTTGCATCACAGAAAAATATGATCTTCATCACGTCAGCATAATAGATTTTCATTTCATATTTCTTTGGACAAATTTTACTAATTTTGACCTGATATGTTCCTTTTGTTTCTTTCTAGAGGAGTTGAAAAAAAAAGCCTGCTCCTGAAGTTGCTATAAAGTACTATACTGGAGGTGTACTTGTTTGGTGAGTTTTTCTTTTTACAGTGCATGGTTCAGTCTTTTAATATGTTATAGGGGATTTAACAATTCCTCCACAATTCTGCCCAGATGATTTTCAAACTGACAGAGCTCCATGTTCGAGAAGACCTAAAATAAGTAAAGGACAATATTTGTTTCCTTTACCAAAAACACTTAGGTCTTTATGAATTTCCTCTTACACTATTTTTTTTTCCATTGTTACAAAGGAAGTTAAATAGAAATCCATGCTTTTACTTACTAGATTTCTCCTCCCCCCCCCCCCCCCTTTTATGTGGTCTATATGTGCTTGAATGTTGCACAAGTCCACTCGTAGTAATCATAAAGACCATTTTTCTGTTATGATACAACTTCAATCCTGCAGAGGGTATGACAAGAAACTATAGGAATTTTGTGGCTAAATAGTTGTGGGATGCATACTGACATAAGTGGCTTGAATTTCATGTCCTTTCACAGAGAATTTGTATGATGTATTTGTGAACATCAGAGATGATGAAGCTGAACATTGTAAGACAATGAAAGCTTGTCAGACTCATGCAAACCTTCACTCTCCTCATTCATATCAAGATGATGGCTTTGAAGATATGCCTGGTTGTATAATTCCTGAAGCAAATTGTAAAGGTATTGTAGACTGTATAAAGATATCTTTTACATCTTCTCAAGTAACGCAAAACAGAGACATTTGAGAGAAATAGATGATGATCTCGTATGAAAATTACACATGGTGACAGATGTATAGACAGAAAGAAAATTACATAGCTCCAATAGATGCCTTTGATTTGTAAACGAAGTTTTTGTGTTAAAGCCTTAATTCAGTTTGAATATTTTCCCATGCTTGAAAGAAAGGTTTCCTGTTGGACGTGATTGGAGCCTGTGTAGCACAAACAGCGATAGGTTGATGGTGATTTCATTTCTGGTGGGTATAACTAATAGTGGCCTTTTCAGTGTCAAAATTTTGTTGAGGGAGGGAACAAGGCAACTTTTATTAAGGGCCAAAATATTGGAATTTGGCTTCTGTTTAAGGAATGGAGTGAATGTGGTTGGCTTTGCACCAATTTGGTTATTCTGAAATGGACGAGCAGGTCTTTAGCGGATGAAGTCATTCTCTTTTCAGTTCCCAGAAATAAATAATTTACTAGAATCTAATGCATATGGCAGACTATGTTCAAACGGGGTTACATTCGTTGATGGTTAGATTGCTCTGATGAGTGCGTGCCGTGTTCCAACCTCCAACTGGAAATCTTTAGGCTAGAATTGCAGTTCCGGCTTGGAGCAATCAATTTCACCTTAAATAAATCAACTTCACATAGAGCCTGCCTCGCAATCCATCAGAATTTAGTAGCAACTAGACATATAACATGATTTTGAAGGGTTATCTCACAATCGCTGGGGGATGCAATACGCATCTTTCACATGACACAAACATTAGAATTGTGATCCTGAGGCGCCGCCACAACTACAATAAGCTCTTCATGGTCATATTATCTGGATTCGGACTTCTCAACTTCATGGATGACCATTGCCGCTAATGAAGGAACGCGTAGCCATGGTTAGAAAACTGAGGGTGAAGTAGTTGGACGATTTACTTAAAAAACCTGAAGTCTGAGGCAGGGATGGAGTGGCCGAGATGAATTTTAGAGCTGAATCATTAGTTACTTTATAGATATTTTAGGCATCAAACCGGATGTTGAATTGATTTCAGGCTTAATTGAATGCTTGATTGGTTGATCATTGAAATTAAAATTAGAATTAATTTTGAGCGTGCAAATTACAAAAAGGACATTGCTACTAGCATCTTCTATCCAATTAAATGCAATTCCTTTATTTTTTTAAACTATTATTACATTTAAATTCTTATTAAAATTTAAATATTTTTCTGAACAATTTCGTTTTTTTTTTTGGAGTAAAAAAGGAAACAGTATTTCGTGAGTAAAATTTCGAGTAAAAAGCAAACCACTAACCAACTTGATGTAAACAAGTTTTATATTATAGTAGTAAGTAATATATATATATATATATATATATATATACACTAATTTTTGGCATATAAGTGATGCACATGCAATTTTTTTTTTTAAATTTTATTTTAATAACTAATTTTTTAATATTATGATATTAATGATAAATATTAATAATTTAATTTTGATTTTAGCATAATATAACTAAATTTTCATAAATTTTGATATAATTTTGATTTTGATAACTTTTGATTAAATTTTGGTAACATTTGATACAATTTTGATAACTTATAATAAAATTTAACCATTGATATAATTTTAGTAGTTTTTTTTTATAAAATTTTAGTAACCTCTTGATGTAATTTTAGTAATATTTTGATAAATTATGATATACTTTTGATAATTATTGATAAAATTTATATCATCATATTTAACAATAGATTCCTGTAAGAAGGTGCTAGTTTAATTTTAGTATAAGATAATTTTTTTTATACAATAACATTATTGTTTCATTCAAATTTAAAATATTTTTCACTAAATTTTTTTATTAAATAAATTTATGATAGATTTATCCTAATATCCCAAGATAAAATTTCTAACTTTATTCCGATAATAATCAAGATTCAATTTTGGACAACTTCAAATATTAAAAAATTTATCAAAGACTGACAATTAAGTTATCATTGATTTACTATTATATTATCAACGATTTACTATTAAGCTATCAATGATATATTGCTGAATTATTAATGATTTATTATTAAATTAGTATTGATTTACTACTAATTTATGAATGATTTACTATTAAATGATAACTGATTTACTATTAAATTGTTAATAATTTATTACTAAATTACTGATAATTTGTTATAAAATTATAATTGATTTACTATTAATTTATCAATAATTTACTATAAAACTATTAATGATTAACTAATTTGCTACTAAATTATCACTTATTTATAATTAAATTATTCATAATTTACTATTATGTTATCAATAATTTATATCTAAATTATTAATGATTTATTATTATTATTATGCATTTACTACTATTTATCATTGATTTACTACTTAATTTTTGATTATTTACTACAAAATATCACAAATTTATTACAAAATTATCATGATTCGTTATCAAGTTGTCATTAATTTATATTAAATTATCCATAATTTACTATTAAGTTATTATTGATTAACTATTAAGCTATTAATTATTAATTACTACTAAATTATATTAATTTACTTTTAAGTTTTTAAAGATTAATTGTAGACACCAAATTTATTCGGATTTTAATTAATAGTTCTCAGGCTATAGGACCGAGACTCGATTTCAATTCAATTGAGCTTCAGGCCCGATTTCAATTCGATTGGGCTTAAAGTTTGATTTCAATCAGGCCCAAAGCCCATTTTGTTCTTCAGGTTCAGCCTACCTTTTATTTTTTTATTTTATTAAATTAAACAAAAATATAAAAAAAATACAAAATACAAAATACAAAAACAAAAAAAAGGAGTTGATGCCAGTGGTGCCTTGCATGACACCACTGGCCACCCACCCCTCTGATCACCCATCATTCTAGTCACCCATACCCTGTAAACTTTGTCCACCCCATCAGCACTCATGAACCACCACGCCCTATACTCCTAACCGTCGTGCCCTACTACTGTCGGATAAGACAGAAGAAATAAAAGAGGTAAGGAGCTCGTGCTTATATCCCATGCCGTCCCTGTGCCACTCACTCAGGCACAGGGCACGATCGGAGTTCTATAAATAAAGCTCCTGGCCAAACCCAAAAAATGAGAGGGAGGATCGAAAAAAAACTGCCAAAAAAAATTTTCAGAATAAAACAAAAAAATGTTCTGTCAAAAAGGATACACTGCCAAAAAAAAAAGTTTTCTGTCAGAAAAATTACAAAAAAATATATTAAAAAAATCAACTCAATCCCCTGAAACAGGGAATCTAGCGCCAAGATTACCTGCAAAAAGGGAAGCAAAGTCAGTAAAAAAAAGGTCAAAATACAAAAAAAAAAATTTAACCGAATCTTTCATGCCAAATCTGTGCAATTTGGAGCCATTTTTCGTAAAACTGAGGCCATAAGGAGTTTTTTGAGGGATTTCGAAATTTTTTGGCATCAACAACGGTGGTCAAAATTCATCGGCGACGAGGAACACGACGGCCATCACGACGGAAGGTCACCAACCCCAAACCGGCCTAAAAAGAAAGGAAAAAAGAGAAAAAAAAATTTTGAGGAGAGAGGAAGAAATGAGCTGAAAAAAAATTTTAGGTTTTTATAGAAACTGCCAAAAGTCAAAACGACGCTGTTTCAATAAGCGTCAAAACGATATCGTTTTAAGCATCTAAGATCCGCGCGTCAACCCGTCGACAAACTCGGGACCCTCGAAACCAACTCGACAATCGACCCGACTCACCCTTTGACCTTGACCGATCTAGATAAACCATACCAGACCAAACCAGATCACGCTGACCCATTGAATCACTGAAATCGAACCTAACCGCAGGACCAAATCGGACCCTGCATTGATCGAACTGTTGACTGGTCTGGTTTAGGTAAAAAAAATTTTTTTTGAATTTTTTGAATTTTTTTAAAATATTGTTTTTGTTATTTTAAATTTTGTTATTAATATTTATACATATTAAAATGTTTAAATTTGCTAGAATAAATTTTTTTTGTTTTATAATATTAACAAATAAAAATAAAATAATGAAATATATAGTAAAAAATTGTGATAATTTTGTTATTTTTAAAATAACTCTTATAAAATAATAAAAAATAAGAAAAAAAGAAATGTTTATCTAACGATGAGATTCAAAGGTACTCCGAGTAGTGATACTTACAAAATCTCTAGGTGAGAAGATTTTTTTTTAAACAATACCAGTGTATTAGAGTATTTATAAAAAAATTTTAAAACAATAAAAATTTTCTTTTTTTCTTATAAAATAATAAATAAAAACTAATTAATAAATTAAGAATAAATAATAAAAATGAGAAAAAAAAAAAGAAATTTATCCAATGATGGGATTCTAAAAGTATTCTGAATATAGATGCTTTGAGAACTCCCTAGGTGAGAAGATATTTTTTAAATATTACCAGTGTATTGAAATATTTATAGAAAATCTTCAATATAATAAAAATTCTTCTTTTTTTATTTTTTTAAACGAAAATATTCATAAAAATTAATAAAATTTTTTAAAATAAAAAACAAGATGTGCGTATCAACATGTCATTATTTGCATCGCATAAATGACATAATTTTTACGAAAAGTAAATTTGGACATCCGATGATGAGATTCTAAGGTATTCCGATAAGCGATGCTTAAGAAATTTTTAGGTGAGAAAAAGTTCTTCTAATGTTACCAACGTACTAAAATATTTTAAGAATTATTTTAATAAAAGGGTTCAAATTTATTTTTCTTGAATTAAACTTGAATAATAAATATGAAATAAGTTTTTTTCTTAAAAAATAATTTCTAATAAATGAAAAATTAAAAAATTATTATTATTATTATTATTTTAATATCAAAAATAAAACTGTTTTTATCAAAATCAAAGGATAACACATAGTTAAGTGGTACCGTTTTTAAACGGGTGCTATGGGGTGCTAATCTTTCCTCACACGTAATCGACTCCCGAACTCAGACTGTTTCACAGACCATAAAATTATTTTTTTAATAAATTTTAATTAATCTTATTAAAAGGATAAATTTTAATAGGTGGCCAATCGCATCTAGCCAAAAAAGATTGGTGGCGACTCCATTTTTTGTTCTTTTATTTTTGTTTCCAAATTCGTCAAGCAGTTTCAAAACCGTTACAACAGCTTAGCAACTCCACCAGGGACTCCTTTTATTTTCGAGAGTCAGGCCAAAATTAACTACGTGATATTCTTAAATTTTGATTTAAATAGTCCTAATTAGTTTCTTAGATTTTTATTTTTCACTTTAAAAAAAAGCAAAAAAAATTGAAAAAAAAAAAGAAAATCTCACACATGTTTATTTTACTATGCCTTTTATGCTTTATTTTTCTGTATATATTACTCTTGATAAATTAGGATATACTTGCACGTATAAAGACATAATGCATCTCATACATGAGCTCTATACCCGGACTCCGTCCCTTATAGGAGGAAGTAGAGTATCTATGCCCTCGTGAGATGATAACCTCCGCAATGACAGGCGAAATACTTCTACTTAAATTGAATCATTTTCGTTCGTAACCTGTAATGGTGAGGATTGGGGTACCTCACTAGTCTAGGGTGGACAACAGTGAGGAACAATTTGGGAACTTTAAGACACGTGTCAATCTAAACCTAGCATGTAATAAGCCTAGGAAACCAGCCTTAGGTAGAGCTTCATCCACCTTCTTGTAGGAAATACCTGAGAATAAAAGTTGTGTAATACAAAACAAAAAAAAATCTCAAAACTCAAAAAAATATTTTTCCTCAAACCGTATCCTCACACTAACTCAATTTTATTTCTTTTTTTTTTCTTTTCCTTTTTTGCATTAATCATATCATATAGTTCTGCATCGAGATATTTGCTTTATGACATATTTCTCCTAAGAAGTTTTCATGGATCCTATAGAATTACAAATTTGCTTATCCTCAGTCAATATCCCATGTGAGCCGTATAATGAAGTACATGTTTAGTTGAAAAAAGCTCAACAAAAGAATGGAGATTGCTTGCCTATCGATTATATGTCTAAGTTACTTGAAAAGGTGCATTTGGATCTCACACAGAATGATTTAGAAGATTTAGCCATCATATGGGGTTATTAAATGAAGAAAGAAAAGAAAGCTT